GTGTGTGTGTGTGTGTGTGTGAGAGAGAGAGAGAGAGAGAGAGAGAGAGAGAGAGAGAGAGAGAGTTGCTGGCACGCGCACACACACTTGCGGGGATGCACATGTGTGTGTATGTGGGTGGGTATTCATTTTGATTGGTAAGTACTACAGTGTGGGGTGGTGGGTGGGTTTCTGTTCTCTGACCCGATCAGTTGACAGCATTGCCATCTCTGCCCTGCATTTCTGTCCAATGAATGCATCACTGGTCTTCTGAACAGGATCGATAGTCTTTTTGGTGCAGGATTTTGTGATGTCTGCATACTGTCGTGTTTGCTGATAAGGCTTTTTCATTGCTTGGTTGTATGGAATGTGTGAATGGCTGTATCCATACTCAGGCATAAAGGACTCGAGACTGGAGGAATTTGCAGCATTTGTGAGGACAGCTCTTCTGTCCTCGCCAAACAATAATAGCAATAGGAACAGTAATATTAATAGTGGTGGCACATCTCAGGCCACAAATTTGGATTTGTTAGGAAGTTCCAGATTAGATAGCGATGGGCTTACCGGGGAGCCCATCACAAATGATGTAGCTGATGCAAATGTGCCTGATAGTGGTGACGCACTGACCAGAAGCGAAGTTGAGGCATCAGGCTGTAGCAGCGGTGAACTGTTGGCCAGTCCCTCATTTGCCTCCAGTGCTCACCTGCGAACCACTGGAGCTTGTTTCAGCACTGAAAGAAAAAATGATCAGAATGGTACACAGCCTGATGCTCAGCCCAGCCAACTCTGCCTTGGTCAGACTTCTAGCATTACTTCTCAGAATTCCACTCCTGTATCCTCTCCTCCACGTGTCCCCGGTTTTCTCTCCCGGCCTATGTCTCCAAGCTTGGCCCTGCCATTGTCTCCTCCAAACCACCCTTCTGTCTCCTTACCGTCACGTCTGTGGCACATTCCATCACTGCCTCTCCAGCTCTCACCGCATCTCTCCCCGGCGTCTCAAGGGCATAATTCATATCCCAGATGTAAAGGGCCGTCTGGCACCGCCAGAAGATCTCTGTGTTCCTTAAATGAGAACCTTCATCAGTCACACTGGCAACGACCGTCAGGGAACTTGAATGTCTCACCTACTGAAGATGGGCGGGAGCATGACACAAAGGATGTACATCGGTACGTGGATGGTTACTATGGCAGCCAGGGTTGGGTGGACCAGGAAAGCTTCAGTAGTATGATTCCGCCACAGCCTCGATTTCAGTACGTGAGACCGCAGGCTGGGGTCCCTATGGTAGAACAGAAGCACTGCTTCTCCGCCTTCCCCTTGCCATCACCACGGTACCATGAGAACTGTGGCGGAGCCATGACGTCTCAAGGATTCCGAGGCTTCGGTGAGGAGCCACTTCAGCGAGGTTGTCTCGGCGGTCACTATAGAAACCCAGTGGGACAGAAGCACGTTGCCCCTGTGTATGGCAGGGACCTTGGCGGCGGAATGGGGTGTGCTGAATCGACGTGGGAGGGACCTGATTGGACAGAATTATTATCATCTGTTCAGCGCGATTCTGAGGGCAATTCTCACAGAAGGGAGATCGGAGTACCTGTAGGTGGGAGATCAAGGCCATGGGTGATGAACGGCAATTGTGTGGAGGGGGAGGTTGCTGGGAACCGGCTCTTGTGGGCTGCGAATGGAAATCAAAACGGCGGAGGTCGGGAACGAGGTGAGTGGCGCATAGGAGGAGAGGCAGGTATGAGGGGAAGCTGCTGTATATGTGGAGGTTTAGGAGGAAATGGTGGGCCAGTCGCCAGTTCACAAGGAATGGTGTCTGCGTCATCCTCCCCTGATCCGATGTTCTATTCTCCAAATTCAAGGTTTTTTTTTTTGGGTGCACAGAAACGAGACTTTTGTGCCGACTGCAGCTCGTTGATGACGAAAATGATGTCAGATAGGGCAGAGTCATGTAGGCAGGGCGGTTTTGTTGAGCAAAGCAGTTATTTTCACTCCACAGCAAAAAATGAGGGACTGATTGAAGCCTGTCATCCAAGCTCTTGGGATATGCAAAGCCCCTCTGTGGGTAATGGTGAACGAACCACGTTGGGTACAGGAGCATCCACGGCTTTTTCAGTGGGAAAGGGCAGCTTGTTGCAGGGTAGAAATGCTGATGCTTGTGGTTACACAACGACAACCGCCAGTGATCCTGTGGACAGAAAACACCCTTCTTGGCACGCTACTGGCGTCTCATTTGGAATAGCGGGGTCCATACTTTTGGAACACAGTTCATCGTCTGAACCTAGCGCTCCTTCTCAGATGACTTTGCACCACCATCAGGCTCTTTCTGATGTTCACAAGGTGTCTTCACTATCATCCGCAGGGCTACAGGATGGTATTGGCGGAAGTGTCTCAGCGGTCGATATGGGGACTTTGCGCCAGCCGTTACCACCTGCCTGCTACCCAACTCTTTCATCTGGTTGCACTGCACCTCCTGCCCCCACACCAATAGGGCTTCCTATAGGTCCCAGCGCAAGCTCCTCGGTTGCTCAAAGCTCATGCCTTCCACCACCCTTGGCTTCTCTGTTTCCTGTCCCAACTTTTGAGACTCCAGCACCCTGGGTGGGATCATTGAGTGTGGGGGGGGCTCCTCCCAGCCAGTGCACTCTTGGCTGGCAGCGCTACCATCAGCTTCATCTCCCTCCGGTCCAAAAGCAACACAACCAGGCCTTGGGCTCCTTTGTACAAGTGCCACAGCCACCAACCAGGGAAAGGCTTCCACTCTCCTGTTCATTCTTCTCGTTAACTTCACCGCCACCCCCTCTTGCAGGTCCTTCATCCCCTCCCAAAGGCATGGGGGCAATCCCGTTGCCCGGGCAGGCCCATATGCCTCTTCAGCCATCAACACAGGCTGAGCTGCTACTCAATAGATGTCTCGTCAGTGCCGACTCTATTTTGATGGATGTCGATCACGGTATTAGTCCCTGTCATGGGTCCAGGTCATTGCCAGGTGAACAGTTTGGAGGTTACCTGAGCCTATCTTCTTTGCCGTCATCTCCACCATTTTCCATGTCGTCCAGTTCATCAGGAATTGTGCAACAGCAGCGCTGTGCTCAGCCAGGCCATGTGAGAAGCATATCCACGTCGGGTCTGTCATGTGTGGGGGAAGCTGGCGGGGGACAGGGCAGTGGCAGCCGAAGGGATGTTGTTGGACGGTTGGGGGCACGGGATACGCTAGATGCTAGCCACAACGACTCTTTTGCGGAGTCGAGGCTGCGTCGTTGGCTTGGTTTAGACAGTCTGGCTACGCTTGGCAATGACAGCGCAGTCATTGGTGGTGGCAATGTTGGGCGACATGTACGGTCTCACTTGTTGCCGGGGGAATGCCTCCAAGAGGGACGCAACGAGGCTGGAATGTCCAGTGAGGAGGGCATTGGGCCTTTGTCTGTTGAGTCTGGGATGGCCAGGTTGCATGACGCAGCAGCAGCTTTAACGCATATGTCTGGCGTACTCAGTGAGGGATGTATGCAAGCTTCAAGAGCTGCGGAAGCAGTTGCCAGAAGAGGAAGCGAGTTACCTCGAAGATTGATTTTCAGTGCTGGGGATGACACCACAGTTTATGTTGGGGCTCCTCCTAAGCCCAGAGAAACAAATGAGAATGGATTGGAACTAGCTACTGGTCGCTGCGGATGGCAAGGATTCGATTCCACGACAGCTCTTCTTATCAGAGGGGTGAGTCCTCAACTCTACCGGTCAACATCTCATGTGCACTATGTACGAAATTTCCCTAACTTTTTCTGAAGTCATTGCAGAATTAACTTCCTTCAGACATCAACTGCTCCCCACCAATACGTTGGTGCTCTCATGTTAAAAAAAAAAAAAAAAAAACACTGCTTCACGAACAAACTAATTGCTACGAGACAACTAATCGATGCAAACT